GGATCCTTTTATGTAATCCCCAATTAGCGTCCAAAAAATGGGTCGTGATGACCATGTAGTTTATCATTGGAATCGAGGTCCAAGTATCGGTTGTGATACTCACTCTCAAACCCTCAATCACACATTTTATTTTTGCCTTCTTTTCAAAATACAACTCCAAAACCGTCGCTGCCACCTTATGCCTATTAGGAAGTTTGTACTTTGGATTCAAGTCACGAATAAAAGCTCGAAAGTCCTCTTGATCAACCACCCTAAAAGGCATCTTCGCTATTATAATTCACCTCACATATCTCCTATCAAGTCTTTTTTGATTGAAAGTGTGAGTGACAACTGGACCTCTCATCCTCGCTTGTGTCAATGTAGGTTGTTCGAATCCATATTCTCAAAGAGACTAGAACCCGGGCATTTCCTCAAATGTTTAAGAATTCCGGCCGTCCCATGAGTTCTAGGGTGTGTCGGTACTAAGAGTTTGCAATGCTTGCATTCAGCCATGAACAATCTCTCCCCATTATTATCGATGATCGTTACCCTTTTAGCATCGTTCCACGCCGGACTTGGACCCTTTCTCCTATTGCCCTTTTTTCCAAGGAGGACCATCCCATTGTCTCCCTGATTCTTCTACTTCATCTTCCCTCTTTTCTCCCTCTTCCCCTTCTTCTTCTATTTGTTCTAATGCAATATCCTCCTCCACATCCGAATCATCATCCCAACAATCTTCATAATAATCATTATGCAAATAATCTTGAGGTGAAGGAGTGCCTAGTTGAAGGGTACCACTAGGTTGGGTTTGTTTTCGTTTTCCTAGTACCCAGACCATAGGTGTACTAGATTGGCTACTAGACCCGTCCATCCTAACAAATAAAATAACAATGCATATTAATATATCATAACCACAATTCAGCATATATCCAAATTCCAATCAATAAATCACATATCCAATTCAAATGCAATAACATTAACATATTCAATATGTGCAAAGTAAGAGGAAACAATTAAAGAGAATTAAAGAGAATTCATATATATTCATAAAGAGGAAATGAGCTACAACTCTATGATCTTTACATTTCATCACCACACCGTATATGTTTCCAGATATTAACTATTGCATGTACATGCATTATGAGAGAGAGAGAGAGAGAGAGAGAGAGAGAGAGAGAGAATGTTTCCAGTTAGTCATTAGATTTATAGAAGAAAGATATATGTCTACATACATATCTTGCTGTATGTTTTGATGAATATGGTTTATTAGAAAATGATCTATTTGTTATTTTCGAACCGTCTGTTAAAAGAAATTCACATGTTGTATTGAAGATAAGTTATCAATAAAACTGCTACAGGATAGGGAACTGAAAAATACCTTAACCTCATAAGCTGGATTCCCAAATTGGCAATGCTCCTCTTTTGCTTTGTTGTATCGTTTAATTACTGATTTTATGCTGGTAAGAGGATACATTTACGTTAGATACTTATTCGATTTTTGCCAGCTTAGCACAAGAAACATTTGGAATATGTTTTCAAGAATCTGTATATGGACAACAAAAGAAAATTGATATATCATTGTAGCATAATAACATTTTTGACTAACTTTTTAATCCACTTCCTTGCAATCAATATGTTTTGTAAGTTGTTGTTACTGATAAACGTATGGTTTTCATATCTGCTTGCAGACATTGTTGTAGAAGGTATTTTAGAAAACATTTAATTTAGGCTCTCTCCCCCTTTAACCTCTCATTCCCTCTGGACTGTAACCTCTCCGTCGATTCAAAATCCCTAATTCCAAAAGCCCTAATTCAGAAACCTTAATTTCAGAAATTCCTAATTTAGAAATCCAAATTCAAAATATCTAATCGAATTTGAAATCAAACAATTTGTATGAACTTTGGTTCAGTTTATTGCAGGAATTTCTTACCTTTTGCAGTGAGGAGAAGTGCAGATTGAGACCGAGAGCTCGATTCAGGAGCCAAATTTGGGTGTTATAGACAGTGGGTGAATGCGTGATTCAGGTGAGGAGTGAGGACTGAGAGGAATGAGAACTGGTGTGGGTAAATTCGGGATTTAGGCTACGAATATGGGAGGAGAGGCAAATCGGCGAGGAGATACTGAGGTGAGGTTTAGGTCTGAGGTAAGGTGAGTCAATGTCGAGAGACCGAGACAGAGAGAGAGTCAGACACGGGTTGATAACTTTGATTTATATGCAACGGTTGAGATTAAATCTCAACAGAATCCAATGGCTATTAAAATTCTAAATATATATTTAAAAATTAATTAATATATATATTTTTTCGGTTGGGTATGGGATTACCGAAATCCCAAAAACTTGAGACCGATTCCCATATCGAAATTTTCGGGAATTTCGGTTTAGGCATTTTTCGGTTCAGTTTCGGGAATTTTTCGGTTTGGTTTGGGATTTTTTTCCAACCCTAATTATGACCCATTAGAAATACAGTTTTTATTTATTTTAATTATCATAAAAATAATATTAATTAATTATTCGAGCTCCTCACTCACTAGTGACTTTCCACATTTTAAGAGCTCCTAACAATTTAGCTATCCTAAGTAGGGGTGGAAAAAATTCCCGAAAATCCCGAACCGAACCGAAAAAATCCCGATCCCAAACCAAAAATTTCCCAAACCGAAATTCCCGAAATTTTCGAGATGCTATCCCGAACCAATCCCAAAATTTCGGTATGGGATTCGGGATTGGCTTCTCGATATTTCGGGAATCCCATACCAAACCGAAAATATATAATATTAATTATTATATATATTTATACATATATATATTATTCTTTTATAATTGATGCTAGTAGTTTCTAATTCATGCTCAGCAACCTAGAATGCCCTACACCTTGCATATTTTTCATGTTCTGTTTGATATTCATGTGGATTTTATTATTGCTGCTGCCATGGCTGATGATTTCATAAGGCTTGATTCTTTTGTCTCTCAACAGATTGCAAAAAGGGTTTAATTAATTTGAATTTTGACTATGATAAAAAGAGTCAAGCATGCCAGTGTTCAATTAAATGGTAGTGTGAATGAAATGAAATTCCTAGTTCATGAATGTGTTCTTGAATTATATATTTGAAGAACAATTCATAATTTCATATTTCAATTTGGGATTCCCGATTTGTCCCAAAATCCCGAAAATATTTCCGGATTCCCGAAATTTGGGATTCCCGAAAATTTGGTTTGGGATTGGTCTTCAAATTCTCGTCCCGAAAAATTTCGGTTTGGGATTCGGGATACTAGTTTCGGTATGGTATCCCATACCGAACCACCCCTAATCCTAAGAGTATCTTCAAAGAAAATGTAAAAATCCTATGTGGATTGTTTTGACAAAAAAAATATGGTTTTTTTTGGTTCCGAAAGAGATGTCAAAATCTTCTGTGGATCGATTCTCCACTTTGCTGCCAAATTTGAAGACAGTGTCAATTTTTGTTTTAGTTTTATTTAATGTTGAGCTCACATATTTCTTTATTTTTCTTCACTTATTGATCATTTTAGGGTGGTTCTATCCACATACATTTTTACTTCCCACAAACCCCTTGTTAATCTATGTCTTTTAATATTTTTCAATTCATTCGATCCTCATGCTAGAAATTAAAAAGGACGTGTGGGATGTAAAAAAGGATGTGTGTGTAGTACACTTCTGATTAGTGAGAATAGAAGATTTTCAAAATGTTATTTTGCCGTATCAACTGTAAAAATGATATTTGACATCTCCACTAAAGATGGCCTAAGCACGATAGGGAGTGTGATTGAGATGAATTTTTCAAACTTAGGGCTAGTCTGGGATTGCTGTGTTTTTTTTTTTTTTTTAATTTTTTAGAACTACTTCTGCTATGTTTTTTTTTTTCAAAATTGCTTCAATTGTGTTGTGAGAATAAACAACTGTGAATAGAAGCAGGTAAATGTTTGGTTAACTATACTGCTAAAACTATTTTTAGCAAAAAAAGAATAGGATTGTCAATATGAAAGGTATTCGACCTGCCTACAATAATTTTTTTTTCTTTTTCAAAAGCATGTGTATCGTTGCTTCCTTTTCAGCTGTTTTGGACCCATGATTTTGAAGAAAAAAAATTATTTTTTATTTACCAAACACAATTAAGTTCCTATTTTTATAAAATGTTGTTTTTGAAAAAATTTATTCAATCCCAAATGAACCATGATGGTAAGTATTGGTTTAGTACTGATGTGCTTTTATAAAAAGTGGGTATAAAAAAAAGCTGAGCTCAAAAAGGTGTTTGGTAAACACTTAAAAACAACTTATTTTCACAATTTTGGGTGAAAAAAGCTGAAAACGTGAAACAACAAAAATGAGCTTATTCTCACAGCACATCAGAAGTACTTTTTTTTTCAAAGCACAACAATATCAAACCAGCTCTTAGACATCATCTAGAAAGTCCATGCTTTTAAGTACTAGTTTGGTACTGAGGTGTTTTTATAAAAAGTGGGTATTAAAAAAAGCAGAGCTCAAAAATATGTTTGGTAAACACTTAAAAACAGCTTATTTTCACAGTTTTAGGTGAAAAAAAGTTGAAAACTTGAAGCATCAAAAATGAGCTTATTCTCACAGCACAGCAGAAACAGTTTTTTTTTCAAAGCACAATAATACTAAACCAGCCCTAAACCGGAGTTGCAAGTAAACCTAAGACGACCTCGTTATCTTAAGAATAAAACGGGTCCCACAAGGTGCAAGGCCAGTAAAACTACTCTTTGTTATGCTCCCCCACATTTGTCACCGACCCTATGTAACCCTGCATCCCCTTCTTTTTACTTGTACCCTCATCAATTTTAGTTTTCTCAATTATATATTCCTTTAATTATTCACATTTCAGTAATTAAAATTAATTCCTCAAAAAAAAAAAATCATATTAACAGAGGGAAAAAAGAAAAGTAAAATTTCCATTTCCAAAAAAAGAAAAATAATTAATCAAAATTCAATAAAATGAAAAATCGAAAAATCTAAATTAAATAAAATTAGATTTTCTTTTTTGGGTTCCGCCCTTGCCCAATTCTCTCTCCTCTCTCTCTCTTCTCTCTCCCTGCTCCTTCGACCCATCTCTCTTTTTCTCTCTTCCTCTCTATCTCTCTAGAATCTCAGAGCTTCCGTTGGCCATTGTGAATAAGCTCTAGTCTTCGTTGCAGGTTCGTACCACCATTCGATCTATTGGATATCGTTTCCGAGATTCCGTTTTCTGTTCCTTCTGTAATTTTTATTTTGAATTTCGTCGCTCTAGGGTCCATAGGGTTTCTATTTGATCGCGGTCGAAGGGGATTGATTATCCACGATCTTAGTTTGATTGGTTCCGATTTTTGTGGGTTTTTAATTGGGTTGAGTTTCCTGCAATTGGGTTCATCAAAATGGTTCTGACTTTTTAGGGTTTTTGATTAGCAATTTCATGCTTTCAATCTGTTTGGTTTCAATTCAGTTTGGTTTCTTTAAGTATTTGGTAGTTTTGATTTTAGGGTTTATTGGTTTTTGGTTTTTCGGACGTGGGTTTTTGGTTTAGGGAATGGTAACTGATAAGCTGTTTTGTTGCATAGAAAATCATGGAAATTTATGACTAAGTTTAATATTTATTGCGTTTATGTTGCCTTAAGTCTTGATTGCTGTAAAAGTGGCATCCTCTTAGCCATCAGTTGAGCTGAGATTTTTGTTTTGTCAGGCCCCAATTAAATTGATTTTCTTTTTTTTTAAATTTTACGGTCTTCTCATTACATTTACTAGCAACCAGACAGGACAGAAAGGATGATTCAGTTTGTTAAATTTGAATTTGGTTAACATTTCTCCCCTGAAATTCAAAAGTTGTGATGTCTGTTGTTTTATTTATTGGCTCTTTAAGCATTATTGTGTAATTGAGTAAAAGAAAAGTCGCTTGTAGTGTGCACATGCTTCTGTTCGTGCAATTTTGGTCGAAATCCTAATGTGAATAAATTTCTTTGATGGTTGTTTTTCTCGTATCATGTGAGCAGGGTTGGAAAAGTGTGAGGACAGGAGTTTTGGAGTGGAAAATGGCTGGGATTTCTAGTGAAGAGTCTGGACCTGGAAGGTCTATAGAGGGGATTTCAAGTGGGCAGCATTGTCTCTCTGGGGAAGCCTTAGCAGAATGGCGGTCCTCTGAGCAGGTGGAAAATGGAACCCCATCTACTTCGCCTCCTTATTGGGACTCTGACGACGACGACGATGGTGGTATTGTTTTATGCACTACATGTGCTAATTGCCTAGTGTGTTAGAATGTGTATTCCTTTTTTTTCAATAATACCAGGCTTGTGGAAATTTTGAATCAATGGATCAAAAAGATACCAAATCTAGATACCAATGGTTTATAGCTACTATACAGATGATTTTGTTATTTCCAAATACATTTATGTATTTTACTTGAAAATGTGAAATAACCTAGTATACTTTCACAGGCTTCAGTCAGTTTCTTTTTTTTTTTTTTTTTCAAAATCTTATTAAACCTGCCCTTGCATAATTTTACTTTCCTTTTGACTGTACATCTCTGCATGGTATCAGTTTCATAATGTCAGTTTCCTCCCAAATTTCTGATTTGATATACAGGCTTAATTCATCTTTTGGTATATTTCATTTCTAATTACCCTTTCACTCTGCCATGGATTGAAACTTTAGTCTTCCTTTATTTTATTGTAAGAAATAAGAAACTCTACATTTCCCATGTCATTTATTAGTGAGTTTTTCTGCTCTCAAATTTTATTTGGATGATTTGTTAAATGTTCACAAACCTCTTACTTTATAGGGCCAAAGCCGTCAGAGTTATACTGGAAAATATACGTGGAAGATAGAGAAGTTTTCTCAAATTAACAAAAGGGAACTTCGTAGTAATGCTTTTGAGGTTGGCGGCTACAAGTGGTATGAATTCTGAATATGATTAATTTCTGTGCATGTTGAGCATACAAAAATGCTATCACCTTAGTTTGCTTGTTTAGATTGTTCATATTCACCGTGTATGTGGTGAGACATGTATTCTTTCATAGACATCAGTTAGTTTTTATTTTCTTTGTTGTTGGTGCAAAACCAAATCATCCTGACCCCACTTGGTGGGATAAGGCTTTGTTGTTGCTGTTGTTGTTTAGTATTTATTCATGTAGGGGAAGGATATGCCCCTTGAACAAAATTTTTACATGGACACGCTGTCATAAAGTTGTGATTTGAATGCTTGTAGGACAGAGAATGGCTGTTTGAAAGATTTGTGTAACTAGTATAACATGTACTGTATTTTTAATTTTTGGCTCCGGCGAATTGATAATCATTGAGTCCTCCTTTTTCCAGACAACACATGCAAAGAGAACCACCAATAATTAGTTAAGTAATTAGCGGAACTATTACAGACTGCTTTTCCTCTTCCTTATGCTTAACAGTGAATGTATTTGACATACCATGTAATGCTCTAATCATGGGCGGTTATATTTTGCAAACCTATTGGGGGTACATCTTCAGGATTCCTTTTGTACCCACCAAGGGAATGTAGCCTGAATTCATTTCTGAAGGGTTGCATAAGTGCTGCAGTGTGAGAAATGTATATGTCCACGAGACATAGTTATCCTTTAAGTTTGGCGCATATTTGCTGATAGATGCATGTGGCTTGGGCAAACAGTCATCATAAGATGAGTTAGTTTTGAAATTTTTGTTGTGGCAGGTATATCTTGATCTATCCCCAGGGTTGTGATGTTTGCAACCATCTCTCTTTATTTCTTTGTGTAGCTCATCATGACAAACTTCTTCCAGGTGTGTTATTGTTTCCTTTGTTGAGTTATCTTGATTATCAATTTTGTTTGGGGTATAATTATGGAATTTCTTGTTTGTCTGTCTACCAGGTTGGAGCCATTTTGCTCAGTTTACTATAGCTGTGGTAAATAAAGACCCTAAGAAGTCGAAATATTCTGGTTGGTTGGTTAATCAGTATTTTTTTTTGTTTGTTCCAGTGGGTTCTTAATTTATCCATTACCAAGTTTGAGTATGCGTAAAACTTTTGTAGATACATTACATCGCTTTTGGAAGAAAGAGCATGACTGGGGATGGAAAAAATTCATGGAGCTGTCAAAAGTATATGATGGGTTTATTGATGCTGACACTCTTATAATAAAGGCGCAAGTCCAAGTCATCAGGTGCTCTATGATTGTTTAAGCTCTAATTTGATTTATTGAAGAACCAATCTTGTATTTTTGACTTATAATCGGAAAAAGAGTATCATAGTTAGGTCTCAACATAACCACATGTTTTGCAATTCAAGGACACGTTATAGCTAAGAATGCACTATACATTGTCTATTGAAGGGAATCCACTTCTTATGGATTTTTATTTATTTAGTTTTTACTTTTTATTTATAGTTTTTTGTAAGTTACTGTCTCCTCTGTTTTGATATTGAAGTGCATCCTCTTATGTTGTCCTATTTTGTTTTTAAATCCAGCTTTACGATCAAGCTCCCCATTTAAACTCACACTTTGACCTTTGGTGGCTGAATATTGTTTTGGCATTTATCATGTTGCTTTCGGTGTTTTCATTTGCATGGACTTTATTCGTCTTTGTAAGCATTCCTATTCTTTGCTTCTTGTTTTGTAGGGAGAAAGCAGACCGGCCCTTTCGCTGCCTTGATTGTCAATATAGGAGAGAACTTGTTAGGGTATACTTGACAAATGTAGAGCAAATTTGCCGTCGTTATGTGGAAGAGAAAAGAAGTAGACTCGGAAAGTTGATAGAGGATAAAGCTATATGGTCAAGGTATGTCTTTGATTTTGGAACTTCTATCATGTTACTGTTTGGAATGATCACGACTGAGTTATCTATACAATTCCCTATTTTGGAAGACATAATGTTTTGAGCTTACCTTTACTGTGCTTTATGGTTCTTGTAAATGTGACTTGGTATGAATTTAATGAAATTTTTGCTATCTGCTGGACTTTTAGTAACATGGTCACTTGGGTTCATGTGTGTTCTTGGATGCATGTATGTCTGCATATGTTTGTACATTTATTCACTTACTGGTTACTTGGTTAGTGGTTACATGTAATTGATTTCTTGATAACATTTCCTTTGATGTGGTTGCAGCTTCTGCTCCTTCTGGGTGGGAATTGAACAAAATGTTAGGCGTCGTATGTCAAGGGAGAAGATGGATGCAGTCCTGAAAGTAGTTGTTAAGCACTTTTTTATTGAGAAAGAAGTCACATCTACGTTGGTAATGGACTCATTGTATAGTGGTTTAAAGGCTCTTGAAGGCCAAACTAAGTCGAAGAAAAGTAATGTCAAACTATTGGATACTGAAGAAGTGCGAGCGCCAATTGTTCGTGTAGAGAAGATATGTTTGTATTGGTGGATGATGTTCTGATGCTACTTGAGAGGGCTGCCTTGGAACCATTACCTCCAAAAGATGAGAAGGGTCCTCAAAATCGTACAAAAGTGAGTAGCTAACATCCTATACTAAGCAATGATGTTTGGTTGGTTGGTCTGATGCGTTTAAATCTCGGTTGTTGGTTGTGTGGTATAGAGGATTCAATTCCTTTTTTCTTTTTTTTTTGTAGATATTTCATATTGTCAGCTACATTTATGTTCAGGGTATTGGAAAATCATTATCCGGTTAGGAAAAGACTTGTCTAACAACAAGAAGTTCGTTTCAACCTAGGATTTTTGGTTTACAGTTCTTTCTACCTTCTGACCATAAAAGGAAACTCTATACCCTTTATTCCCACAATGCTTGTCCAGAATTATGCTTCTCCTCACTGCTATCGGAAATGTGGATACATTGAAAGCCATTATTCTCTGTATAAATTTTAGTAGTCTAGTATATCTTGATATCTAGCAGCGCTGTTCGCTGTTCACTGTTCACTGACTGGTTAACTCACTGTTCAAGGTTTTTGTTGTTCTAGTCAAAACTCATTCGAAGGGCTAAGATCAATATGTTCTAGTCTCACTTCAAGCCTTCAAGGGAGTGCAAAATTAATATGAATAGGAATTTAGTAGGTTTTGTAGCAAATAAAGAACATATTATAGCTGTTGGTGAGGATGTGTAATATATGTTTAGTTTCCACTCTTTTAACTGCATGATTTCTGAACAATCATTCTGCTATTCCATCAGGATGGAAATTCTGGAGAGGACTTCAACAAAGATTCTATTGAGCGGGATGAAAGGCGTCTTACGGAATTGGGTCGTAGGACTGTAGAAATATTTGTCCTTACTCATATTTTCAGGTGTTCTATTAGTCCTAATATATTCTTTTCTTGTTTATGTAATATTTGAAGATTGTCCCTTGGCCTTCTTTATTTTAAATCAGTTGCGAATTCTACTGCATATATATTGTGGGTATGTTTCATACTAAATGGTAGGATACTTATGGTTTATGATTTTATCTGTTAGTGAAAATTTTGGTTGGTAATGGATATGGGTCCTTATTATTGTGCTATCATCAAATTTTCATTTATATATTTTCTTTCATAGGACGTGGCATGCCATGTGTCTTTTAGGATTGTGGTTCCTGGTATACTACACAAATTGAAATAGGTAGAGTTATGATGAATGATTCATTCAAGTACTTTTAACTAAGCTGCTGCCTTGTGGCTGGAATTAAAAATGATGTAATTTAGATCATCGCCCATGTACCATAAGGGATTTTTGGATCCTGCACTATGAGTACACATTAAGAAATAAGATATGGATTTTCATTGTTGATAATTTTTTTGCAAATTATTGCATATTATCTAGTTAATGATATCTCCTTGGTAATGTGGAATGGCTTCATAGTTAGAATCTTTGCCTAGTGAAAATAACAGTTCTTTTTCGTTTTGGGCTTATTTTACCTTGTAACAGGTTAAGAGTGCACATTTGGCGTTCTAATGAAGTTAGCAATTTTTTATTAGTGGAATTCAAGTATTTACATTTTGGATTATGAATATTCCCTTGGTGGATGATTGTTGATAATTTCGGAATTTGGACTATGAAAACCAATTGTACATCACTCTTTTCAACAGTCACGTGATAATCATATTTACTTGCCTATTCTTATTGATGGTGCCATTCTTTGTCCTATTTACATGCAGCAACAAATTGAAGTTGCTTATCATGAATCTGTTGCATTGAAGAGGCAAGAGGAACTCATCCGTGAGGAAGAAGCAGCATGGCTGGCTGAAAGTGAGCAGAAGGCAAAGCGAGGAGCTACTGAAAAGGAAAAGAAGGCAAAGAAAAAACAGGTTTGATTCTGTTCTATGTAATATCTTGTTTAGAATGTAAATGCGACTTTTCAGAGTAGTTTAGAGGATTATGATATTCCGAACCGGCCTATTAATGTGAATCAGCAGTGAGTATAACACCATATGCCTCAACAGTTGTCAGCTGAAATGCTGTATTTGTTGATGACATATTAATTCCTTTCCTCTCATTCAAAAACACCAAACGGTTAGTTAGTAGCACAATAATTTTTAGGATTACTATGTGGGAAAAAGCAGCTTCATGGGAATTAAATGTTTTTCTAGTAGCCTTTATTGGAATGGATATGTTTAGGAATGTTGCCAAGTCTATTTCCATGGATACTGGCCAATTCTATTTCCATGGATACTGGATAGGGTGCGTGTCTTTCTGAACAATGTTATCTTTTGGCTTCATTTTGTTCATATATTGCCACTTTGAAGACGAGACTGCCATGTGGGATCCATTTTTAACTAATCTTACCTTCTAATCTTCTATTTGGGTCTTTTAGATAGTTGAAAAAATTATCTTCCCACTCTAGGGTGGAAACGATAATCTATTATATGATGCTACTTTTTTGTTAACCTTAGTTGAAATTGAAACCACTGCAATAAGGAGAAAGGGTTATTAGTTGCATTTGTCAAAAGTGTTTCCTTATTTTTCCCATTGATTGCTCACACACCTCCCTTGGCTTATTTTCTACAGGCTAAACAGAAAAAGAACAACCGGAAGGTTAAGGACAAAGGGAGGGAGGAAAGGCCCGATGTAGTAGCACAAGAGAAACAAGAACACCCTACTGAAGAAATGAAAGACTACACACGGGATGAAGAACAACCTGTACTTGAAAAGCCAGATACACTGGAAGATGTATCTGATGTGTCTGATTCAGTGGATGGTGTTGCTGAAGTACCTCCGCTTGATTCTGAAGACAGAGATGCTGGTCCAATAAATTGGGATACCGACGCATCAGAAGTCCATCCTCTCACAGAAGCTAGTAGCAGTGGTATTACTGTACTGTCATCCTTGCAAAACGGAGTATCTGAAAGAAAGAGTCAATCTGTGATGGACGATAGTTCCTCAACATGTTCTACAGATTCTGTACCATCAGTGGTAATGAATGGGTCATATAAGGGGAACTCATTATCTAGCTGCAACAACCAGAAATCTCCTAGCAGGTAAATATATAGCTTACATATCGTGCTCTGAACTTGATTATACAAGGCTCTTAACCAATGTACTGAATTCAAATTTGCAGGGGGAAACACCAACGCACCAAGGCAACAAGTGACGGGAACAGTTGGCCAAACGAGACAGAAAGTCAGCCTTCTGGGCCTGTAGCGGATGCAGGATATCAGAATGATGCTTCTGGAAGTAGTAGTAAGGCGGGTGAATCGGAGTCAGAGCCTGCTGTTCACTCATTGAAGGATCGGATTAAATGGCTGGAGCAGCATGTCGTTAAGAAGGTGGGTATTTTTTTTTTTTTTTTTTTCTGTAGAATTTTTATGGTGTCCACCTAGTTTTGAAGAGTTTGTTGCTGTTGTTGGCCCATCACTTGTATTTTTAACACCATAATTTGTTTAAGTCAGTGTCCTCAATGTTTCCTCTTGCATCTGGAATATTTTCATTATTCCTTGCTATCCCTAAACCCTAAACTTGTCAGCATTAATTGCAATTTCTTTTATTTTTATTTTTTATTATCCATGAGTGACATAATTTTTTTGCACGTGGTGTATAACAGGAGGAAGAAGTTGTATCTCTGCAGAAAAAATTGAGTATCAATGATGGGGTTGATTTAGAAAGACCTTTGAAAGACAAGACACCAGCAGTAACATCCTCTCCTGGAAGCCCTTCTAAAGATGTGCCCCTGAATGGTCCACCAAAGTCAGAGAGCCAGAGTAGTGCTGTTGTAGAATCTATTCCACTTAGAAAAGGATCCTCAAGTGGTGCACAACAGACTCTGAGAGTGGTACCTTTGACTACTTCACCGCAGAATAATGGCATGTCCAAACCTCAGACTCAGAAGCCTACTACTCCAAAACCAGCTGAAAAAGCCATGGCACAGCAAATGCCTGTAATGTCTAGGCCTTCCAGTGCTCCTCTTGTTCCTGGTCCAAGGCCTACTTCTACTGTTGTGCCTACAGTTCAAGCTCAAACTGCTCCTCAGCTTGCCCGTTCAGTAAGTGCAGCTGGCCGGTTGGGGCCTGATCCATCGCCAGCAACTCATAGTTATGTTCCCCAGTCGTATAGAAATGCCATACTGGGTAACCATGTTGCTTCAGGTTCAACTGGTCTCGCACATACTAACTCCCCAAGTTCGGGAGTGAGCCCATCCCCAGTATACTCTCAGTCACCAGCCTTGGTATCTGCTCCAATGTTCTTACCTCGGAGCTCTGATATGATGGACCCAAGCCCAGTTAAGGCAGGCTTCCCGTTTGGCATGGTGACGCGGGATGTGTTGCATAATGGACCCCAGTGGATGGATAATTGTCAACGGGAATCGAGCGAAGGCATGAACTATGATCCCTCCTCCTTGCTTAATGATCAAAATTTCGATTACTTCCATCCTTTACATGGCGGGCAAAGGGAACACTTGTCTACTGAGTTCCCAGCCTGTACATCTGGGCGCCAGACCCAGGGTGTATCGGCAGATGAGTTCCCACACCTTGATATCATCAATGATCTGCTTGATGATGAACATGGCTTTGGTGCAGCTAGAGGAAGCTCTGCCTTTCACTCCTTCGGTAATGGGCCAAGTAACTTAAATCGGCAGTTTTCTTACCCTGGCGATTTGGGCATATCTAATGACATGGGATCTGCAACCAGCTCATGTAGGTTTGAGAGAACACGGAGTTACCAAGATGATGGGTATCAGAGGGGCTACACACTAGGGGGCCATTTCGAACCACTTAGGGAATTTACTCCGCAAGCTGGTTCGCTACCTTATGTGAATGGGCCACTTGATGGGTTAGTTCCTAACCAGTGGGCAATGGCTGGTTCTGATCTATCTCAACTTGGCATGAGGAACACAGAACCTGATGGTTACCCATACTACAATCCAGAATATTCGAATATGGCATGCGGGGCGAATGGTTACACCGTATTCCGGCCATCTAACGGACAGTGAAAGAGAATGAATGAACGATGGAGCCTGCCCGCAAACTAGTGGGTCACTGTCCGTTGTAATAATGTATTCGACGAAATTGCTGGGTCATTACATTTGGAGTGAGGTTGTAATCTTTTCCATAAGAAAACATTTTGTAAAGAGTGTTTCTTCCACCCCTTTCTTAAGTTAGAAATGAAGGCTTGGTTTATATCCTGGGGTTTCACGGTTCTCGGTTGAAGAAGCAGGCATTCAAACTTTTTCTCTTAAACACTTTATGGTCCCACCGTATTGAGTGAAAGTTTTTTACTACTGTGATGTTGTCCCGAAGTATCAAGCTCGTATTCGCTACGTGCCTCGTTCTCTCGGTTGCGTCATGCTCCCGGCACACAATTTCCGGCAGAGCCACAACGGATTCGAACAAATACAAACCATTGAAAAGAGTACATGGTTTAAACATTGACTACTAGTTGTCAACATTGCATACCATTGGCAGGACTATTGACAAAAGCTTGTTCGGGTCAAAATTAAATTAATAGGTCTCATTTGAGGAGAGATTTCTACCACGTACCTATTTTCTTATGTCGTTTCTCTTCTTTCATCACGTGAGAGAGAGATGAGAATAGTGAACCGGCTACACTCAAGATTTTGCCCTGTTTAAATATTACTTCATGTGAAAAGTTTGACAATCTCTTCTGTGATGAGGTGTTGAAGAAAGAAACAGTTATGTTTTAATTTATCCCCATCGGAGAGAGTAGTCCCTTTTGGAATGGATTTTTTTAACCTATCGTAATGGATGACTCCAGAGTTTGTTTTATGTCCAATAGTGTCGAGTCCCAGGAACTTTCCTATACCACTAAACGATTTGGACTATATTCATATATCACGTATTTATTGGATTTTCTTTTAGGATAACTAATGAAAAATGCTTGAAAACTTTGAGTTTTAACGATAGTACTAGGATTGACTTTTTAGTGTAAAAATGTGGTTTTTCATTAAAGTGAACAGTATTGGAAGTTTTTCGTTAAAGTTCCTATTTTTTTTTTTTAATAGCGGAAACACAATTATGTTGTATTATTTTATGTGTTACTATAAGAATAAATGATATGCATATCATTTAATCTAAATCCAAATATTATAATCTAAACGGAATAGAATGTCGTGTTTTGAGTACACGAAAAAACTGCTGACATTTTTCTCATATGACATAAATTAACCAATGAATGAAGGTACTAGCAAAAGTAATAAGTAAAAATAAGAAACAAAGAAATTATACTTAACTGCTAAAAGAAAAGCAGCAAGTACGGTTGAAAATTCAATTGAAAATTAACACGTTTCTAAACAAATGAAATTGAAAACTATGAGAAAGAAACACCACTATCCCAACGGACCAGTCCAAGTACCAAAGCTCGATCTTTGAGGCTCTATTCGGATTTCGGTAGATGTGGAGACTTTACCCAAGAAAAGGGTAACACAATAAAAAAAAAAAAAAAAAAAAAGGATTCCAACTCTACTGATTGACCCAACTGACTAATTTTCTAGACACAAAGCTAACCTGATTGGGACTCACAAGATGGCTCATCAAGGCCCTTAATCTACTAACAATTTTTTTTAGAAATCATTTTGTAACTAGGGGTCAAGACACAGTTGGGTGCCTGCGGATGACTGAAGTGCCCGCCAAACCGCCTGAAATGCACAAAAACGCTGACGCCAAGTCAGCTCCTATGAGAGGTCGAAGATGATCGTTGATGTGAGGAGTTTGGAGAAGGGTGGATGTGTGGGTAGGACGGATCTTTTAGAGATTGTGTGTGAGGATTCTTTTGCGGGCCATTGTTTTTTATTTTTTAGGTCATTAAGGTGACGTTGGTTCAAGTTTTTAATTCTTTAATTGTTTAAGCACGTGTTCATTTGTGATTGTGCACTTGTTCATTTCAGTGAGACTCATTTCTTCTTTCAACAATTAAACATTATTAAAACAAAGGAAAACTAATGAAAATAGCTTGAAAACTTTGAGTTTTAACGATAAGGACAAAATAAAGGGTAAAGTGAATAGTATCATGATTGACTTTTTAGTGTAAAAATATGATTTTTCGTTAAAGTGAACAGTATTATGAGATTTTCGTTAAAACTCCCTAAAAAACAATGGACAAGCATACGTGAAGGGGAAAAAACACATCATCAAAGACCCGTAACAGTAACACTGCTTAAAAACAACGTATTAATTGTACAAGTTTGAGGCTTTGACAAGGAAGGGTGGACAGCAAAACCTTGGGATTAAGCTCACGTTTTCTTCCTTAATCTTTAGTTAAATGGTTTGATGACCTATTCAATTTTGTTGAACTGTACTTGGAGACTAAAAGAATGAATAAAAAAAAGAAAAAAAACCAGCAGTCAACAGTCAAATTCCTCCAAATCAATAAAATAATAACAAAGTTCCCCCATGGTTTTAGCTACAAATAACACAGCACTCCCCTCATGAAATTATTATAAATACGTGCGACGTATCTGAGTGCTAGGGGTGAGAGGAAAATCAGATTCCAACCGATTTCAAGCCCAAATATTCTAAACATTTCAACCGATTCAAATTCGAAACCCGAAATATTATACCATACGTAAGAAATATCATGGGACTTGTAAACATTAATGCTTTGGCTGTGCTGCTGCTGCTGCTTTGTCTTGCACACGTACATCCCAACGAAGCTAGCAGGATTCTCTATGCCCACAGGCAAGAGCTCAGCCTGCAGTCTCTTCAAAGAGGCGACCTGCCTCCTGATGACTCCTCTAAATGCACCTACATTCCCAGCACCGGCGGATTGGGCTGCCCACTCAAGGTCAAGAACTATGCAGGCCATCGTCTGCAACATCATCACCATGCTTCTGTTTACCCTCGTCACATGGTTCCATTTGGTGTTGCTGCCAATATTCATAAGTAATTAATTTCTCTTTTTATTTCCACATAACTTTTCGGCCTTCGGCTAACGATCAAATGTAAAAGTTGATTTATTCTTTGTAATAGAAAAGACCCTTTAACTAATCTGTTAATTAACCATGCTAATTATATGAATATTCTACTTAATTAAGATGGTTTTGCTATTGGTTTGTATTTAGTTTACTTGCTCTCTAACCGCGGCCGCCACCGCCTGCCTATCTCTATCAAATCTCTTGCACCAGATATTCTTGATGCGTGTGTGCCAATTTTTAATTTTTGTCACGCAATTCACTAGGTTATAGGTATCCATTTAATTCATTAATTTATAAAACCCTAATAAGCTTAAAAAGTTAAAGACAATACTACCATTCCACCCAAAGTGCCCAGTGAAACATACCACTTCGACTAAAAAAAAAAAAAAAAAAAACATACCACCTACTTGGCCCACCCTCTGCGGCCTAACCTCCGCGATTCCATCCACCACCCCCTTCTACGAACCACTCATGATCTCCTCTTGTTCCCACACGCCCCCCGTCCTCCGAGACCCATCCCCACCCAAGGTCGACCCGGATCTGTGACGTCAGTAATGAAAAAAATAAAAGAGAGAGAATGAGAGAGGAGAGAGGAATGGGGTGAGAGGAGGGAGACCAAGGGTAAAACAACAAAATGATGTTGCATGTAATTATTATAGTGCCCAAATTTTTTATTTTGTTCAATTTTGATGAGAAAGTTAAAATGATAATTTTCTGAAGTTCTGGTCGAAAAATATGTTTTTGTAAATAAGTAGGTTAGACATCTTCATTGAAGGACGAATAAAATCATGAAATTGTAGCCTGAAACTCTACTGTTCTGTTTTTTATTTTTTTTGCATTATGGCCTGATTACCATGTTTGAATTACGAAGTTTAGGGTCAATTTTGGGGATCAAGTATACCTTGGGAAACAAACAAGAAAAAATGGTTTGGCAAGGCAGAAAGAAAAATGTGGTCTCAAGCTGAACATGCTTACTGTCGGGCGGCCTTTCTTTGACCGGAGCTAGAATTAGCTAGTGGCCAAATCTCCAAAAGTACCACTGAAAATTATTAGTGTAATTATATAATCGATCAAATCTTTGTTAGCACAAAACATGCTTATTACCTTAATATTAGATAAATAGAGGAAACTGGGATATTTTAGTTTTCTTATTCAAGAGATTAAGAGAGCGAGAGTTTAATAATGAATGACGCGCGATTTAAGTGTCATTAACATTCATGTTAAGAAGGTTCAAACTGGAACATTTTTTTAGGGATCCCTGGACAATTTTAAACTGTCCTCTTTAAAACGAGAATGGAGGACACTGGCATACTAGACTTAGAGTTAGAATTGGTCCATTTAAATCATAGAGGACAAGTTTTAGCTGATCTACATCTTACGACTTTTGTAGCAGTAATATGTTTTGATAAGATAAAAGTTAGGGGGAGATTAGTTACTCTCATCACTAGAGTCAAGGTGTTTGGGTTAATATTTGAACATTGGACCTGGATGAAGGAAAGCCCAAGAATGCCAACTAAAAAGAGACTTGCCCGAAACCCAGCACCAAGCACAAAGGCAAAGTGAAGCCTTCTCAGCCAAGATACAAGCCACGTGCTTACCATTGAAGTGACAAGTGATGAAGACTAACCTACTACCAGCCAAGGAACACTTTCTAGTGGCATTCCAAGTAAAAAGCTGATGACTCACTACCCTCCAAGTACTTTCGGGTAAGAGCAAAGTCACCGCAGTTGGGTTAATTGGCCTATAAAATGAAGAAGAGGCCCCAGAGACAAAGACATTCAACCAATCAAACAAACAAACATACAAACTTTGCTCTCAAGCCAGATTTACATTCAAAAGTTGAAATCAACCCAGATTCAGTCCTTTTTAGCAACAAGCTATCTCTTGTCTAGTTTAAAGCTCTGCTATCTCCCTTAGTGGCATAGTATCGATTCCCTTGTGTAAACTTGTTTACCATCCATCACTTTTTAGCATATAAACCCCTGTTAATTCAAGGAGAAGTGATTGCAAGAGGTTCAACCTTGACAGACAAGGTGAAATCTTGCCCGACGCTCTTTGTTTGTTTTCTAAATTTGTAGATCTATTACTTAATGCATTTTCTAGTATGTATTCGAGTCATTTCCATCAGTTTTCCTATCTTAAGAATTTCATTTGCATCTGGATCTAGTTAGTTTAATGGATATGTTATCATTAAAATCAATCAAGAACCAAGCAAACGGCTTAAAGGGGCCTAGACTCACTTCATTTGAACATACAAGACTATGAACTAAATGTCCTTATTTCCAAGGCAAGAAAAAGAACTTAATGTGGACTTAACCTATCCATGACAACCCTTTGATAACAACAAGTCCAAGTAACATGGGGCACAAGTAATTGACTAAAAACACTCTTGTTCTACATCTGCTATATTGAGATAGCAGTGGCACGCCTAGCATTTAGTTAGTTTTGATTGTGAGCCTCAAGGCCTACACCTAAGGCCCTACAAAAGCACATTTCAGAACTAACTTTGTCCTCTTCTTGTAGCACATCAACAAGCAAGAGTCTGACTACACATCCAAAGTGACAATCCCTTAGGGAGCTGTGCTAAGGTCCGAGGATCCTCCTCCAGAGAAATCTTTGCCCGAACATAGTTTTGGCACGCACAATGGGACATTTATAGTCTTGTATGCCAAGAAAAAGAAGGAAGGAGAAAACCTTCAGGTGGAACATAGAATATGGGCTACCCCAATGTCTACCAAGATCGAGCATGACAAATAATCCAGAGGATTTTTCTTCCTTGCAAGGACCAGTTATTCTAGAGAGCCCAACTTCATCTAAGAAGTCAGGAGGAAAGGTGACCGATGAAGATTTGCAAGCCGCCATGATACAAGTGCTGAAAAGTATGGAGAAGATCACTTTGGAATCCAGAGGAGAAGTAAGTAAACTTTGTTCCTTAATAGGGAGTCTGCAAAGAAGATTAAATCTGGAGTACTCTACTCCAAAGAATGGTTATGCCAGGGAAATGATGAGGGAAGAAAGCCCTGAGAAAGAACCAATTATCCCCCTATTTCTTGTGCTTGAGGAAAAGAGGGATAAAGGAAAAAAGAAGGAAGGATTTGGAGTTAGTTAGCCAGTATTGGAGGAGATCTTGGAAATAGAGTTGCCCGACCCCTTATTGTTTTCACTAGGTAGTAGGAGCATAGCGGGTAAGAAAGAAAGAAGTATGGGATGCCCCAGTTAATCGGAGAATCCAGTGGAAAAGGTGAGCCTACCAAGGCAGACAAGCCTCTTCCTTATAGGCCCCCACCATTGGCCAGTAAGGGAGGGGATGCCAAGTGGAGAAAGCTCGACCTAAAGAAGGAAACCTTCTCGGGCAATGATATTAGCTCGAAATGGGGAGCCTCACATACCCCATGCAACAATACAGCTAACCAGCGGTTGAGAGATGAGTTAGATGAGTTAAGAAGGATGGTGGCCAAGAATGCTCAACCCCAAGCTCGTCCACTGTTCAGGATCACTTACCAAAAGCCATACCCGGAGTATATTGATGAGCATTATCCTTTTCCAATCAACTTCAAGATGCCCGTGTCTCCTACTTTTAGTGGGGAGGATGGCAGTGTATCCTCTAGAGATCACATCTTCAAGTTCTCTAATCATTGTGTGGCATTCGAAGACAATCCTAATTATAAGTTAAGATTGTTTGGGAACTTATTGGTTGGCCTAGCATCTCAATGGTATTCTCTATTGCCCCTCAATTCTACTGCTAACTGGGGGCAAATGGAGATGGCTTTCCATAAGCAATTCTATATGATAGAGCCTGAGATGTCTATTAATGATTTAGTGGAGGTGAAGCAATATGAACATGAGTCTACAGAAAACTTCATGATAAGTTTTGAAGGACAAGAATTAGGTGACAATTCCCTATTAATCATGCCTAACTCATATTCGTTGCTCAAAAGGTCTTGAGGCTGCCTTTGAGGAAAAAGTTTTATGATGTACAATTCAATGAGTTACAAGAGTTGGTAATTGCTGCCACAAAGTACGAAAAGCTGTTGCTTAAGGAACATCAAGTGAAGCACTCATCTAAGGCTCTTCCTTTTTACAAGAATAAAGCTGCAATTCACCAAGTGGAGTTTGAAGAAGCTGAGCTAGAACAAAATGATAACCATGGAAGAGAAGGGATGAACATGTATGCGGTAGAGATGGCTACCCCCTTCAAACCTTTAATAGTGAAGGGGTTAGTCCAACTAGTCAAGGATCAGAAAGTGGTGATGAATGATGGTGGATTTGTCTCTATGAAGCCTCCTAAATACCAGAGTTATTCTTTTGATTTAACCAAGGCCTCGGAGATCTATGAAGTATTGGTACGGGCAAGAATGATCGTGCCCAACAACACCAAAAAGATGCCTAAACCAGAAGACCTAAAAGGAAAGAAGTATTGCAAGCTGCACTGTACCTTCAATCACTTCATAACCAACTATGTCCAATTCAGGGATTGGATACAAGACCTCATAGTGAAAGGAAAGTTGCTGTTGGAAAAACCACAAGCCAATATGATGATTGACATATATCCCTTCACAAAAGCCCCAATAAACATGATTAACTTAACTTGGGCGGAAAAAAGGAAAGGGAAAGTTACTTGGGAAGTGAAAGTAGAAAGGAGGCAAGTTGACAAACTAACAGAATTGTGAGATTCTACCATGTCTCTTAGACTAGATATTATCCTATTAGAGTTGTAATCCTATTGGGGTAAGGAATTTACCTTCCCTACTACTATAAATAAAGGCACAATGAAATGATCTAACACACATCTCACAATTACACACCTCCCTCTTTCTCTCTACCGTGTCACACCCCCTCTCTCTATGGCCTTCATAATTGTTTAGTAAATTATGCCTACAATAATTATTAATTTTTATAAAAATATAACTCTTTTGAAAATACAGTCTACCAAATGTTCAAAAACTTTATTTTATAGCTAATTGTTTGTAAAGCACAATAAAAATAGTTTTTTTTTTTTTTTTTTTTTTTTAAGAACAGTAATTCCAAATTGCCCATAAACTGTAGTGGTAAGAGAAACTCTAGTTGATCCAATACTGGGCAATTTAGGTTCTATGTTCAATTCCCTCCGCTATCAATTGTATAGAAAATATTTCTTCAAAGAAAAACAAAAAACAAAAATCAACCAACATTTTCTTTGATAGGGTCAATGACGTTGCATTCTAGGGAACCGGACCCAAAGGAATTGAGCCCAAGGATCAAATGATCTGGACCATTGAAATTTGATTCAACTGCTACAATTATTATAACTTTTAGACAGGCCCCCTGTTTGTAGCCGTTGGATCAAATTTCAATGGCCCAGATCATTTGATCCTTAGGCTCAGATTTTTTGTGTCCAGAGGGGATCCAATTCCGCATTCTAGTGTTGCTTTGCCAGATACATGGCAGATTTTGTTTATAATTTGACCGTTTATAGCAAATTATAGCTCGAAAACCAAAACATTCCAAGACAAGTTTGTCCGAATGCTAAAATTTGGAGCCAATAGAATTTCTTCAAATATCAAGATCAGCATGTATATTACAATTTAAGGTGCAGAAACCTGCTTAATACTAAGGTGAGACTGTAACTATATATTCAAAGCGTAAACAATGTTCCAATGTTGAAACTTCCCACTTCCCAGTGAGGATTCTAAACCACAGGCAACCAAATCTACTGAGGTTCAAGATAAACGCAACTTAAACAACCCAGTTACAAGATACACCAACGCCTTAAAAGTCACTCTGTGTAGCAAATGATCGGAAAATATGGCTTTACGATTGGTGAAGCTGTTTTGTCCAGTCAAAAGCTGCCCAATCTTGATCGAAGCTCTTAACCGCTTGCTTTTGTGCCTCCACCGTCTCGTGTCTTCGGCGACGATACATGTCTTCCTCAGGCAATTGTAGCATGCCTCTAATGACATTCAGTCCAAGACTGCTGTTGAACTGCTGTTCGTCATCAATAACGTGGACAAACCCTTTATTCAATCCAAACTCCACATGGAAGTATGGAAAGTCCTTTGGAATTGACCCACGCAAGCCCTTCACACTTGTATCAATTAGTCTCTTTGCATTGTGCTGGCTCCACTCATCTTCAGCTTCATCAATTGCCTATGAGAAATTTTATGCATTTTTAGTTTAAATGAGCAGAAAAATTAAAATCAGAGACTAAATTCAACATCATAGATTAAAATGTATATAAACATTCAGTTCAGAATATTTTATACACGAAACAACTGAGAACCTAATAAAATCTATATGTATACATGTGTTTGAATAAAACTACACGCTGGGCATGCACTTGTATGTGTATTTATCTAGATCTACTACCACAGATATGCCTACATGAAATAACGTCACAGGTTCCCGGAAAAGGGAATAAATCATGAGGATTTTTCCATAAACAAGTGAAAATTTCAAAACAAGCAGCAGAAAATCAAAGCACTTAAAATGAAAATAAGAACAATCATTACCTTTTTGAAATATAGAGGAGCCTCTTTGGCAATTTCATGGGGCATAGGAATACACTCAACTATACAGTGGCGGCGTTGTTGAGCCAACCCCATCACAGTTTCAAGAAAAACTACTTCCTTCTCTTGCTTTGCAAACATCATAATAAGGCATTTCTTGAAATTTCGAATTTCTTGCCACACATCGTCGTCAACAGTTCTTGTGGAAGCCACATGCTGTTAAGAGTTATATGGATCAGAATCAAATTCATATTAACAAAACTATTTGAAGTAATCGTAAAAGGGCAAACTAAATTTACATTCCCTAGTATTAAAATCGACTTGGATGTTGCACATTAACCTGAAGAGGGTTCCAATAATCACTTTTTCATTTGGGTTGAAGACGGTAGATTTTTCAACACCCTCACATTTGGAAAATGATAATTCCTTGTTAAAGAATGAACTTTCCCTTCTAAAGCTTTAAAGTAAAGAAGGAATGCTCGTGCTCATTATCAAATGACTACTGAAACAAACAACATAAGAAAAGCAACTAAATTAAGCGCACCTGCATTGGTAAAATACAACAGTGACCAGGCACAACAGGCTGCTGCTGTGGCAACATTAAATATGTGAAGTTTGCTATGGCCACAACAAGATGCGCTGGCCTCCTCGGATTTTCAAAACAAAAGAAACATCTCTCCTGCTGCGTTGCAAATCGAGTTGCAAAACTGTTGTTCTGGGTGACTTTCTGATCACTACCCTGCTTTTTCTTGGACTTCTTTCTTGGAGCATCATCATAGTCATATTCATCATCTGCCTGACCAGATATACTGTATTTTTTGTTCTGGGTAATCCTTTGAGCTAGATGCATATCAGCATCATCCTCCTTTTTCTTCTGACGAAGATTCATTTCCTGCATAACATGTCTAAATAAAAGGCAATCTGTTTAGACCAAATTCTGACCGAAAAACAAATCACCGTGAACAGGAAATCAATCAACCAAAGAACACTCCTTGACAGGAATTGCAAAACAAAACCTGTAAGAATTGGCCCATGTATGTTACAAATGCTACTTGGCACTACAGTTCTGTACTGCAATTTCATCATCCTTACAAACTTTTATCTTGTACTCGTTTAAAAAAATGGTAAAAGCACACAGGATAAGACAAGAACTGAATACTCAATTTCAACAACTGCGAAAAAAACCCAGAAGGGTTGGCCCATGTTTGCCAATAGAAATACTACTCTGCTCCACAGTTCCTTTTTATAACTTAAAGAATTAGTCCACAATTGTCTCTTATTTACAACAAAAAACATTAGACAATACACAAATAATAGGAAAAAAAAATAAGATAATAAGAATATACAACATTACCTGCTTGTGCTCTGTTCATTTCCTGGTCTCACAGAATTATCTCCACTAGCCTGCTTTGCCTTTCTGTTTTCTACTTCTTGCTATTAACAAAAAGAAAAATCAATTAATCACTGAAACAAAAGATCGTTATATTATTGTTATATTAACAAAAAGAAAAATCAATTAATAACAAGTTGTCAGCATCCTAAGGAATTACAAAACAAATGGGTAACATTGTTATAAATTAATAATCATAAGAAATATTTTAATAACCCAATACAGAGAAACATAGGCATCTCTTTAGGAATAAATAAATGCATGCAAAAATGGCAGGACACAAGCCAAGCAAAGACGTAAAGATTTTGTGTGGTTGAAAAAAGAAACCAGCAAACAAAGGACAGCAAATTCCCTAACCAAGATAAGAACCAAAATTGCCCCAACTCTAGAAGAGTAATTTCCACTGCATCAGAAGTTAGAAATCAACTTCTATCCTAAGTTGCCCAATAAACTGGGTGGTTAATTTCAAATGTTGTCGACAAGACTACGGACAATCCAATCTACTAGCATATAGGACATAAAGCTTCATATCCTTGAGAGAGAGAGAGAGAGAGAGAGAGAGAGAATACTGTATGCTTCTTACCAGAAGTTCCTCAGCTTCTTCTAGCTTTCCTTTCATACGAAGTTGAAAAGCCTTAGCTGCCAACTGGTTCGCACTTAGTTCATGAAATGCAGCACTCGCTTCACTTGGTTTGCTAGTGGCTGCTATATTTTCATGAGCATGACTACTAAAATCATCAGTCCTTTTACGAAGAACTTCAGACATGAAGCTTCCATCGTTTGAAAACTTATTTAAGCTAGCTACTGCATCCGCTAAAAGACTAGAATCCTGCGTAGAAACGCCTCGCCTCATCCAGGAAAATTTATCTTGAACTTTAGGCTCCCTCATTTTGGGGAGTCCACAAGATACATCCTTCAGGTAGTGCCGACCAGTGTCCTAGAAATCAAATTCACTGTAGCATGTAAGACACAAATATTAATTTTTAACTCAAGTTAAAAACAATGCCAAGAACAGTTGAATTTAAGCATTTTCAAAAAAATGAGAGCTCTCCCATATACCTTTTTATTATCCTTGTCACTTTGATTGCTGGAATCTGGTTGGCGTTCCTCACTCGGCCCTTTCTGTCTACTTCTTATAGCCTGTAGATGAGCACGAGATTGGGCAGCTTTATTAGATGCCATGGAGACGGTCAGTTGACCAAGAGAACCCCAACGCTCTCCGACAACCTGTATAAAAAACCAAGGATTAGAGCGCAAAGAAATATACCAGAAACCAAAAACAAAACAAGGTAGTTTGTGAACTAGTGATGCTTGCTAAGACCTAGAAAGATGGGATTGGGAAATGGGGCTCAGGTAAATTAGCAGAAGCGAGTTCAATACCAATTTATTCCCCCGTTCTTGGCCTCTCACCAACATATTCCTATCGCAGGAAAATATTCTCAGAATTTAATTCATCAAGTCCTCATTCCGATCTGATTAACAAGGGGATTTAAACCTAAAGGATATAGGAAAGTAAACTTATTCTAGGAATCTAATCCAAACCAGAACAGGAAAATTACTATCAACTAAGAGAACCCTCTTTGTCAACCAAAGAGGGTAAAATTACTATTATACCCCCTTTAAGCTTGGTAAGTTTATGGGTTATTGAGTAATATCACTAGCATGCACTCTCCTATAGTTTCTCTCTCACACTATGACTAAAACACCCTACAGAGTTAGGGTACGCCCCACTTTGGTTCCATGTCAGCATACCTCCTGGAGCCTTCGTCCTTCTCGAGTCGCCTGCTCTTTTGCACGCTTCAGAGCTTTTAGTTTCCAACTTGCACCTCCATCCCCAACAACTGAGGAAGACAAAAGTTGGTTTCCAGCAGCTTTAGGTTCATCTGTATCTTCTGGATAACCAGATCCGTCATCCTTTAAATATGGATTTAATTCCCTGGGATTGACCTTTATCTAAAACACATGGAAGATAAAGAGTAGTCAGTAAACAAAATACTCTGTAAAAAGAAGTGAAAAACAATTTGTTATTTTCAGGAGGTTAAACTCTTTGCGCTTAACTACAGTAAGTTCCCTCGTGTCCATTTAGTCTTTAGACTCTAAAATGTGGCAATTAACCTCCCAAACAAAAAATCGTCTGTTTAGTTTGGGGACAATAGTAATTGCTCATCTACACCCATAAGCCAACGGGTTAAATCTATAATTTTTCATGTGCCATCTCTGACCACACCAAACAAAACAAACATCAACTTATTTGCCACATAATATAAACTTTATGGACTAGTTTGTAACTCCAACTTAGTAGAACTAGAAGGGTAAATTCTCGCTTTACAAGATGGAAATATACCTCTTCAGTCAGAGTTTCCTTTGGCTGCTCCTCAACATTCACTGTAGGGGTTCTATCTGTTTTTCCTTCAGGTCTAAGCATCCACTCTAAGCCAAATTCCTTCCTTGCAATCTCCCCATCTTTCAAACGATTGGGTTCTCTATCTCCATCTATATCGACGAAAGGAATGTGAATATGTTAAGATCATATGATTAGATAAAAATATCTTTTATAAGAATAGCATAGAATACCTACCAGTAAATTTTCATCCCCCATGCCTCCTAGACTCCTTTGCTTACTCTTTTTCTTTCTGTCTTTTTTACTTCTGTTTTTGCACCTTTCTTTTCTATCAGAACTATCAATGTCTTTACCATCAGAAGCAGAAGAATAATGATCTTCTGATACATATTCTTTCCTTCCCCTCCTTAATCTCCTTTTTGGCCCATAACTGGCCTCATCCTCTGAATCATCCTCAGTTCTTCTCTTACCTTTTTTCCTACTCTGACTCCTCCTTCTATCTTGGTCGGAACTTCCCTCACTTCCAACGCCTGACGAATATGATGATGATGATGAATACTCGTCTGACGAATACCACTTTTTTTTAGACCCCTTCTTTATCCTATCAAGCTCTTCCCCATCCGAACTACTAGAGTGAGAGCGCTTCTTTTCCTTCCTGCACTTATTCTCCTTATTACCCGACCTCTTCTTCTGTCTTTGTTTTTCTTTCTTAGGAGCACTCAGATTCTCACCCTGTTAACAATAACAGAATACATTAAACTACTCTCGAAAACAACAAATTAAACAACAGAATGAACAAAGGATGCGATTTACCTTATCAATCTGGTCTCGGGGTATGATCCTCACTCCAGCAAGCATTGTTTGTACTAACTGCCAACAATATGGCCAAGGTACGTACAATCAAATAATTAGCGTCCTGCAGGCAACCACAAACAGAATAGCAAGATCTGTTACCCACCAAAGACGAAAATAAATAATGTCACCCTATAAATAATTTTTGGGGGATAAACTTGAAAATTTTGATTTAGCCTTTCATCCTTCATTTCTTTTTGTAATTAACACTTAATTTAGTCTGAATTTGGATAATGAGCTTCTTTTCCCTCCAAATTAATCTCCAGTTTAAGTTAATAGTGTACATGGAATCAAATCTGAAATATTTTTCTGCAATGAATCTAGAATATTTGCAGGTTCATATGTAATAATTCTTGATGGTTCACTAGGCAAAAGAAAAATGATTATTGGTTCACATGGTGGGATTTTAATCAGAAAATAATACGCTCCGATTACTCAGTAAGCAAAGCTCTAATGATATTCAACCCTTCTTAAGAAAAACCAATGTTGAAAAACAGAAGTCCTAAAACATCACAACACACCACTAAACTTCGTGACGTAGGAACCTTGGTGCAATATAAAGGTGCTACTCATGGTTCGAGTTAAATTGGAAAGATTTCATCAAGGAATTGCAAAGAAGTTACAAGCCCGTAGTACTGGACCCTTCAAAATTTCGCAGCGTGTTGATTCCAACGCATGTGTTAGAATACCCTCCATGAATGGGGTTCAGTTTAACTTTTAACGTTGAAGATCTGATTCCATATAGAGGTTCTATAACTTCTCCTACTCGGGTGGACTTTGTTGAAACTGGTACTACTTCAGCTAATGACTCAGATTCCTTTTCCGTCTCTGAATTTCCTGATGTGATCCCACTTCCGCCCCCTTCCAAGTCCCTCCGAAAGGATCTTGTAGCAGATATTTTGGATGACATAGTTGTTTTAACAAGGCACGGTTCATACCAAAAGTTTCTTGTGAGGTGGAAATATAGACCAGATTCTTACATCACTTGGATTTCAAAGGAGGACTTGCAGCGGATTGATCCTGACATTTTGGAGCAATACTAGAGCTTTCTCTCACCGGAGTCGAGCTCTTCTCAGCCAGGGGGAATTGATGAGGACATCATTGACAATAGGAACAGGCTGTCTAATGTCTATTCCAACTATTAGTTCAGCTGGGAATACTTCTACTAGAATTGGGAATTTTTTACTGATTGTGGTTCCCCTATAAAGATCCATTGTAATTCTCTAAGGAACTATTAGTTTATGAATGAGAATCGAGTGTTATCTTCCTGCGAAAAAATAAAATGAAATAAAAAAGAGCAAACTTCCGATTTTCCCCATAAACCTTCACCTAATTTTCGATTTACCCCTAAACTTTTAAATTGGAAAATCAAGGACTTAAAACTAATTTTTTTTTGGCCAATTTCCCCTACTTAGTTTTCCACAGATTTCTTCCAAAAAATTAAAGTTAACTCTTATCCCCATGTGACTCTCTTTTGAGAACAAAAATGTCACTTCGCTAGACTTTTGGACACCAAAGCTATAAAATCACACAGATTAGCACAGGTCAACATTTTAGAAATCTAAGATTTTCAATTATTTTAAAGAACGAAGCGATCAAACTACCCTCCCCTCACATGTTGTGCACATGTTTTCATTTCACAGAAATTTGGATGGAATGAACGAAGAACTAACATCAGGTAAATCGGCCAAAAGAATTAGCATAAATCGTTGATTTTCCAATTTAAAAGGTTGGAGGTAAGTCGAAAGTTGAGGGAAAATCGACAGTTTACTCATAAAAAATAACAAGAATTAAAATTTCAAACCCTAGATGAACGTAAACCTTGCTCTGGTACCAATTTGATGTAGGATAGAGTCGGGCAGCGTAATTTAGAATGGTTTAGGGGAAGCTAAAACACAGAAAATATTAACTAAAAAAATAATATAAGAAAACTGGAATCGCACATATTCTTGGCCCTTCACCAATATAATTCCATCAGAAAATCAGAAAAGTAAAATTACCAGCAGTAGCTTGATCCGTGGTTTGTACGACGGTGTTCCTCCGCCTTAACGGCGCGGAGGTTGCTTTCGTAATTCGCAGCAGAAATCACCGACGAAAGAGTTCGAGGTCGTTCTGAAGAACCTTAAAGAGAAAAGCAGGAGAAAATAAAAAGGGAGCAATCTATCAGTCCAAGTAAACGTGGATTTGGGTTTGGATTTTAACCAGGATGACAGGTGCGCAGCGCGCTCCAGAGAGAACCAAATTTTAACGGGAAAAATGGAAAACACGAGTATCCTCTATTTGGTATTTACACACCCGCCAAATTAAAATCCTTTTATTTTTGTCAATGAAAGTCCCATTTTACCCCCTCCAAATTGGGGGATATATATTGCGCTATAAATTTGAAGATTTGAAGTTGAAGGGGAAATTTTATAGGACGGCAATGAAGCTATTAATATTTTAAGGCATAGAATATTGGGCGCTCAAGTATCAACACGTACACGATGAGTGTAGCAAGGATGGGAATGCTTCGTTGGATGTGTGGCACATGAGAAAGGACATGATTAACATGAGGATATCCAAGGTAAAGTAGGAGTAGCCGAAATTAAAGATAAGATCAGAGAAAATGGCTAATGTGGTTTGGACATGTGAAACGAAGATCTATAGACGTTTTGGTTGGAAGATGTGGTTACGAGACAGAGGCTCAAGGACAAAGGGGTAGTGAAAGACCTAGGAAGACTTGGAAAGGACTCTAAGCTAAGATTTGGAGTACACATCTAACAAAAGACTATGCACAAAACTGAGCACAGTAGCGTTCTAGGATTCAAATAGCCGACCTCATTTAATGAGATAAGGCTTTGATGTTGATGTTGGTTTGTTGTAAAAATTGCGTTACAACGGATTTGAACCTAGTACTTTTGCAGGGTGCACAATGTGATGCAGCTCTTGAATCACTGCCTAATTTCCTTAGAGAGGAATTGTTAGGTATGCAGGCAAATGCCATGAAGCACACGAAAGAATTGTAGTATTATTCAATTCAACACTCTAAATTTTCTAGATTTTGGTGAGTGCAGTTGAAATGGGTTTGAAACTTTGAAGCACAACAAAGAAAACTGGCCTAAAAACCCGAACCAGACCGGATGAACCAATTTGTGGTTCAGCCATGTTTCCGAAACTTAGAACGTTATGAACCAAAACGATCTTGATAGAAGTTGCAAAAGTGTGTATTCCTCTGAAGATCTCAATAATAGTAAAAAGGAAATCTACAATACATACAAACTAGATATGAAGAAACAAACTTAAAGGATGATCATGGAAACCTGTATTGGCATAAGCATATGCTGAAATTCAGAACCGACAAGTGATACACTACTTGTGCGTTCCCCTCTTTCGACCTCAACCCCGAGATCTAGTCGTCAGAACATCCTTGGAGGTAGCTGGAAGATCTTTGAAAGGTTCTTCCTCGCTGTTCTCATCACCACTGACATAAGGTTCAGTTTGGTCTGAACTCACTTCCTCTTCTTCTGGTAGTTTTCCAGCAACCTCTTGTTTTGAAAGCTTATCTCAAATCTCTCTTAGTTTAGCTTTCTTTGAATTCAATACGCCGAGGAACTAGAAGACGTTAAAGAAATGTCAATCAATACGTTCAGGAAAAGAACTGCAAAAGGATATTTTTCAACTAAATGATCAACTCAACCAAATTCCAAATACTCAAGGCATCAAAAAGTGATCGGAAGATCAAACTATGATTCTGAAATGCATTTGGAGTGGTCATGCTAATTAGTTCAAAACTAAGGAACATCTGAGAAACTACGACATCGAATACAAGACTCTCAACCACTGCAGGGAAATTTTCATATGAAAATCCAACTCTCACAAGGGTATATCATCTGCTGAACACTGTATTATATGACAGGTGAAGTTTGAAGCTCCATTTACAAAATAAAGAAACGTTTTGAGCACGCAAAGAGAATATCGGTGAATAAATCATAGAGGTATGGTATGGTGCACCTTTGCATAAATAGCGGATTCAAATTCTATCTTCTCATTGGTAATCTTCTCACTCTGTGCTAGACACTTCTCAGCTTCCACTTTCAACCTCTCAAATGATTGAGTTTTTCTCACAACTTCCTCCTATACATAGATATACTAGCATGAATGAGACTAGGAAACACATTATACTTACGCTCATATGCATTTGTATGTACAAACAGAAGAAAATTCAATTAGGGGCTTCTCAAGAGTTAGCAAAACAAGGAATCGGTATGTTAGATTGCCATTATCGACATGAGACATGACCAATCAGCAAAAGCAATTTAGAAGTCTAAAAGACTCCGTGTAATGCAACACCGTCTTATCCCATAAACCTAATGTTATCACGATCATGCATCAGTAACATCAAACGGACACAAAATCATGATCTCTTATAAAACAAGGTTCATGACTAAAGTTTAAAGCATAGCAGGTGCGATCACCCATCTGGGTTTCTTCAGAAACACAAAATACTTCAAGAATCTAAATCACAATTAAACTTCTAACAAATTTCAACAATTCCAATAGGGGGTCAAAATTAGGTGGATTTTAACCTGGTTTTAGGTTCTTATATATCTGGCAGCAATCACATAATATATAGCCATAGTGAACATCGCACATCCCTTTTTCTCCTCTGCACACCGTGTTTGTTTCGGTCCCTTAACTCTCGTGATTTATTCAATTCAAATGAGAGAAATAAACAGGAGTGCACGGGAAGAAAAGAGCATGCGGAAATCACTTCCTAAGCATATAACACACTGCAACAACAACAAAGCCTTATGTCACTATGGGAGTCGGCTATGTATCAAATATAAGATAAAATAAGAAAAAAGCAAGAAATTTACACTTAGCCCAACATTTGCATCCATGAGAAAATCCAACACTGCTGCCGTCGTTTGCTTACTGTTTGGCGACGGCTGACACTTCCACCGCCATTTGAGCTTCGTCCCTTCCTTCTCAAATGTCCACGAAAGCTGCATAAACAATCAAACACAATCTAATCTCAACTTTAATTACAAATAACACTCTAATACTTCCCAAGAAATTAAATGAACGAAAAGCTCTAATATTTAATCACTCTTTTGCAGCCGTCGCCGGCGTCGGCGAAGCTGTAGACAGAGTCCGGGTGTTGAAACCCTAAGTATGCTCGGCCAGCGCCATGAACTCGGAGACCGGTTAGTCCCACTGAGCGACGCCGTCGCTGACCTGGTCGTCGGAGGCGGAGCAAATCCATGCATTAAGCCATCGGTGATGGAGACGTCGAAGCGGGAGGCGAACCAGTGCCCTTGACGAAGATGGGTTGCTGGGATTCTTGGAGCTCGAGCTGTGTTTGGGGGTCGGGGCCTCCATTGTTGTGGACGCGGGGGGTTGGGTCTTCGACTCTTCCCGCCTCTTTAGATCACTCTGTATTTACTATTTAACCGATTAAAGTCAGCAGCTTTTTCTTTTAAATAAAGGTTTTTAGCTAAAATGGTGTCTGTTATTCATATAATTCTTATTTTGATCCTTAAAATTTGAAATTAATACAAATAGTTTTTGAAATTGTCCATTATCAATCATTTTGGTTCTTCTGTGAATAACTATGTTAAATAAATATTAAAATGATAAAACTACCCTTAATTTAATAAACAATAGGCCAAAATGATTTGACAAATATTGAGGTATTTTTGTCATTTTATCCTTATTTAATGAATTTTTTCACAGAATGACTAAAATGATTAATAATGGACAAACTCAGAGATCAATTCTATTAATTTCAAATCTTAGGGATCAAAATAAGGAGTTATGTAAATCTTATGAACCATTTTGGATAAAAAAACCTTAAATAAATAATCAAACTTTTTTTTTTTTAACGATAGATTTGTTAGATTAGGGAGTCAGCGAGGTTTAATCTTATGCCGTGGTGCAAGTAGGGATGGGCAAATACCTATTTGTTATGGGTAACCGCGGTTACCTGCCCATTTAAACTAAACGATTACGGTTATAGGTAAACGTTTAGATAAATAAACGGTTATGGGTATAACCGTTTACCCGCGAAATTTAAATGGACGGTTATGGGTATTAACCGCGGTTATAAACGAGTAACCGTTTATCCATTTATTTTATATATATATATATATATAATTAACACATACCATGTTCTCGATGCAATAATACTTAGCACCCAATAAATGGAATTCATCGGTCCTTCTCTCAATAACACTGCTACAGAAATGATGATTCTCATCATCAAGGAATTCGCCAAATTAATTTAAATTCCTTGCGGGTAACTATGAAATTGACAAAAATGCTTTGACAAAAATGTCTTCTAAACAATTTTTGTAACCCAATAATACTTACCAAATATTATATTTACCTTCATTGGTAACAGTTAAAAATATCGTCTTTAAACTATTATTTCAATTATTGGAATGGTAGAAGGACTTAAAAAATTAAAATACGAAAATGTACGATGAATGTACCTATAACGGTGTTTAATTGTTAAAAAAAAAAATTATGACAATTTTTTTTTAAATTTTCAAGTTGTTAAAAAACATGTAGATGGGTGAAAAAGGGGTAATGGTAAAAAAAAGAAAAAGATAAATGGGTTAAAGAGGATAAATGGGTAAACAGGTATTAAACAGTTACGGTTAAATGAGTATGTGGTTATGGGTATGGTTAACCGTTTATAAACGGTTATGGGTATAGGTATAACCATTTAGGTAATTACCCAACAGGTAAACGGTTATACGGGTATGAGCATAAATGGTTATAGGTAAATAACCGCGGTTACCCGTCCGCCATAGCCGTTGCCCATCCCTAGGTGCAAGAGCAACACTCTTCTCCACCATTGTGATAGAGGGCTACTTGAAGAAATGGAAAATTGAAGAAGGATTTGCTAAAGTTACATAGGAGCCTAAAAGCTCAAGTCCAAAAGTGACCACACAAAAAACCTAGAAACCCTAAACAGAGTTTCACCAACTGTGTACGCAGTCGAATCGGTGAAGACGACCAATGGACAAAAATCTAAGAAAAACCACCACATGGGGCACAACTCGAACCCATCATAGTCACAATAACGGAGGAAAAATGTCAAATCTATAGATCCATTGAAACCACGCCAATACCAATCGCCACATTTCTAGTCCTCAATCGATACCAAGCACACAACAAGCAACTAATTGCCCAGAACCAAGCAGTAACAAAAAAGGTCAAGTGGTGTGAACATCATTCTAAAGAGATACCAAACCTTTGTAGGGGTGACAACATA